CAACTCTTTCCCGGCTTTAAGTGTTGGCCCAGAACCAGGTACCAGTAGGCACTCAATAAATAGCTGTTGAATAATAGATTGTAGTATATTTTTATAACAATTGTATAAGGTAAATATTCGTTTGCACATTTTAATGAGGTGAGAAAACTGTGGCTCAGAGAGGTTAAATAACTTGCCTTTGGTCACACAGCTTGAATGTGGCAGACCTGTGATTCAGACCTCAGTATGTCTAAACCATGGTCTACATGCTTTCCCGAGGCTGAAACAGAGCGAGTGGTAGGGACAGGTTCATCTTCTAGGTTGCTCTCTTGAACATAGTCACTCCCAGTTGCTTTGTTTGTTTGCTTTTGCTGTCGCTATATTTTTAAACTTAATTTTTTAAGGTTTTGACATAATTGCAGAATTATAGAGAAGTTAGCAAGAAGAATATAAGTAATTCTCAGACCCTTTGCCCATGTCTGTAAGGGTACATTCTTGGAAGACTTTGATTTGTAAGCTGTTCTAATGTGAGAGCAGGCCACATTGTGGAGGCTCCCTGGGTGTCTGTGAGGCAGGGTGTGTCCCTTATGTGGAAGTTGACTGGGGTGGGAGAGCAGCGTCGTGACCCCACCCAGGAACTGAGGCTAACCCAAGAGCAACCCTCAAGGGCTGGCCGGATGAAAACATGAGAGAAGAGTCTAGAGTTTAGAATTCTGCATAGAAGAACCCCACCTTCTGAGAAGCTGAAGAGTTTGGGGAATATAAAAGAAAAGTGGCTTATAAAAAAAAAGATGACTTCAGCTTCCCAAACGGACACTCTCAGGCGTGGCATCATGCCCTCCCGGACTGCCAAGAACAATAACCATTGCGTTCACAGACGGCTGCGCCCCGCGCTATTTCCTCTTCTCACCATCGCAATTAAACATTAGTGTTTATACTGCTTTATCTGTTCCACGCCTGCCACACTGGTTTGTTTTTTTTTTAATTTCTTTTTTTTAAATCCTCACCCAAGGATATGTTTGTTTATTTTAGAGAGAGAGGAAGGGAAGGAAGTCGGGGAGAGATAGGAGAGAGAGATGAGAAACACCTGCACTTACCCTGTCCGGGGATCGAACCTGCAACTTAGGTTTGTGCCCTGCCCCGGGGTCAAACCCACAACATTTTGGTATATAGGACAGTGCTCCACCTAACTGCACCACCCAGCCAGGGTCACAGAGGTCCCTCTGCCCCCCTTTCTTGCTTCCATTCTTGGTATCCATTGCACCTACTTTCTCCTTCTGGCTTCCAGGTTTCCCACTTCTTTCCTGCTAAGACGGCTGTATTCCCAGAGGCATTGTATTTGGTGGAAGGGCAGGCAGATTCTTCCCCATGTGAGAGGAAAGGGGGTCTCTTTCTCTTTTTTTCAATTCTTACCTGAGGTCATGCTCATTGGTTTTGGGGGGTGGGGAGAGCAACATTGGTGTGAGAGAGGAACGTAGATTGGTTGCCTTTCATAGGCGCGCCAGCCCAGGATCGAACCCACAGCCTTTCGGTGTATGGGTTGACAACCACCCGGCCATGGAGGAAATGGGGCCACTTTTAAAGAGGTAAATAGTTTGGAAGTTTTCCAAATCAGGAGAGTTTCTCCAGCTCTAACGCTGAACAAAACCAGCGACCTCCACTTGAGGGCCTGAGTTTGTGACCCCTGTGTCTTTCCCCTGTGGCTGGAGCCCTTCGCTCGGAGAAGCCGCGCTCGGTTATTTCTTGACATTCCTCACTCATCCTCTCCCCGCGCTAGACAGTAAGTGCGGGGAGGGTGGGTGTGGTGCCCCATTCTCAGGCAAGTACCCGGTGCTTAGTAGAAGCTCAGCAAATATTTGCTCAGTGAGCAAGCCTTGTCCTGTGGCCTTGGTGTGCACATGCTACATAAGTTGACTTAAAAATACAGGACCATATAAAAGTAGATCTTAAATGTTCTCATCACAAGAAAAAATTATAACTCTGAGGTGTGATGGATGTTAACTAAACCTATTGTGATCATTTTGGGGGAGATACATACATATATATAAATATATAAAATCCTTATACACTTAAAATGATATATGAAAATAATAAGGAATATGTGTGTGTGTGTGTATAGTTCTTATACACAATATGAATACAGTGTTACAAAAAAATACAGGATCACAGCCTTTTAGGTTTTAGCTGCTTCTCAGATTTACTTTCTGGTTGATCTTTTAATAATGACGATTCAGCCTTAGAAGAGCTCTTCCTGGGGTTTTGACCTCTGAGAAGGCAACAGAGTTACTACACAAGCATGTGTTAGTTGTCCCCATGTGGACAGTCCAGAGAAAGGTTCTGTTCCCAGACCGGCCGCCTCCGTTGATGGTCCTCAGGCTTCTGGGAATGCCGATGTGAGGGGCCTAAGTCCAGGGAACGTCAGCAAAACCTGTCATTAAGGACTGATCACACTGACACTAAGTGAAACATGTCAGACTGAAAAGGACAGGAGCCATATGATTTCACTCATATGTGGGGTATAAAGTAAAAAGCAGCCAATGAACAAACAAAGCAAACTCACAGATACAGACAACCGATTAATGGGAACAGTGGAGAGGGGGTTGGGGGGGGACGAGGCGGGTAAAGGGGGTCAAATATACGATCACCAAAGGAAATTAGATTTTGGGTTGTGAGCACACAATTGAGTATACAGATAATGCATATAAAGTTGTACACTTGAGATGTATATGTTACCCACCTGTGTTGCCCCAATAAACTTAATTAAAAAAAACAACTGACCAAACTGACTACTTGACCCTGCTTCTTTGCCCTCACCCCTTCTCCTTCTCGTCATTCTTAGACTTCTGGCCTATCTAAGTGGTATGCCCCTGGGGTGTATGTATGCTACAGTATTCATGTAATTAGCTATTTGATAAGCTTTTAAATATTGAGTCTTCGGTTTCTATGATTCCTCAAATGCAACCATCTTGCCCGGTTAGTCACTCCAATGAGCACAGCATCAGCTCTTTGCAGAATTAGAATTACCCAGTTAGGCCAGGGCACACCTTCAAAACGAGGGAACAACCTAAGAAAGGTCAGTAAGCCCCAGCGCAGGATTAGCTGGCGACAGAGCAGGACTAGACAGAGCCCGGGTCCTGCTGGCACGGGGCACATTCCACAGCCCCTCTGCCGTGTTGATGCCACACCCCACAGCTAGGAAATGGATTGGAAGCAGGGCAAGCAGAGAGATGCAGGATATGTTTTTAAAGTTCCTTGGAAGCAGACATTGAAGCTGCTAAAAAGTTATTTTAATCGGCATCCCCCCCGCCCCCCACACCATAAAATAAGATTGCTTGAGGGTTTTACTTTGACAGATGGAATGAGAACCCAGGCAAGGGCGCTCCCCCAGTGTTCAGTGTTGACTGTCCAACGTGGGCCATCAGACTTCCCCAGGACCGCGCAGAAACGGAAAAGTTTCTGAGATAATTTATAGTCAGCACACCCCTCTCAAAGTCTAGCATCAAAGGACTTGAGGCCTAAACGGATCAGGAGCCATTTTGTCGTCTTCTGTGCAGGCTTAGAACTAGCCAGTCTGCACGGCACGCGTAGGATATAACACCAGCTCCCAGTGAGAAGGCGGGGACAGATGCCTGCTCGGAGAGTCTCCAGCTGTGAGGACGGTGTGATGAATTCGCTGGGAAGGTGGCATCTCTTCAAAGGTTTTATTTGTGGGGATAAATCATTTGATTTTAATTGAGCTTCCTCTTTTCATCTTGAGGATCGTTAGGTCTCTTTATCTTTTCTGAGCTGCCACTCTGGTTCCAATCTGATTATACAGCCCTTCTTTAAGTTTTCAGACACCCAAATGGGAACTGTGGGCACCTATCTGATTTAGTGGAAACAGCATAGAGGACCTGGATTAAAATTGAGTGTGGTCTCCTAACTAGTTCAGTAGTCCCTGGCCAAGCCATTTGACCTCCGTAGGTCTCAGTGTCCCTGTCTGCAATATGGGGGTGCTAACTAGCTCCTTGTTGGGAGGACACGCTGTGGAAGTACGTAGTGGTTTCAGTGATCATGCGGAGTTACTTTGGGATCTGGTTTCAGGTGAGTTCCATCACTTCTGCAGAGTAGTGAAGTTTCTACTGGCAGGTTAGTTTACTTCTTACAACTTGATCTCATGCGGAAGCTGGAATAACAACACCTCCTTGTTAAATTGCTGGGAAAGGTAAAAGCAGTACAAGTTAGGTGCCTGATAAACCTGGCTCCATGGGGTCACAGTAGCTTGGGCTTCTCTCACGCAGTAGCCTTTGCATTATGGCATACACCGGTTGAGCTCTTTGAGACGATAAACCGCTGGTGAATTCTTCACAGTGATTAGAGCCATATTGTTCCCTGCAGAGAGTGAGTGGGGAGGCAGGGTGGGGTGGGACCGGAGGGGTGGGGGGTGAGAGTGGGTGGGGAGGGGAAGTCTGGCTACTGTATCTTGACAGGAGGATTAGTATGGAAAACAAATTTCCTTCTGGTAATTGTGTATAATTTGACAGATCAGTGATTCGTGCCAGTTAACTTTTATTAACTACTATATAATAATGTAAAGCTCTAAGATCATAAAGGTCATAAAACTTGCTAAAGAAAAGATTTTGGTGTGTGTCTTTAAATATCATTTAAAATGAAAAGAGCCAGTCTAGCAGGTACTTGGAGGGAATTGTGTTTTGCAGAAGGGAAAGTTAGCAAAGACAGTTTTCCAAATTAATTAAACATTAATGTTTAAAGAAGTATTGGTTTTGGCTGCGGACAAATTGGTTTTTGACATATCCCTCAAGAAGACTGCAGTCTGAAGGAAGGAGATCCATAGTTGTGAATGAGAGTTTGAAATTGAGAGGGGGAAAATGCATCAGTGAGTGAGAGAGAGAGAGAGAGAGAGAGTTTCAAGGTAAAGTGCTCCACAGTTAGTCATAGTGGTCTCATGTGTCAAGAATCCTGGCTTATCTGCATTTTTTTGTATGATTGCTCATGTGTGGCATGCCTTGTTTTTCTTCTAGGATGTGGAGAAAGAGAAGGAAACCCACAATTACCTCAGCAAAGAGGAAATCAAAGAGAAAGTTCATAAATACAATTCAGCAGTCACAGACAAGTTGAAGATGACCTTGGTAAGTGCCCATAATACTCCTTAGGTTGACAGAGGTCTAAAGACAAATACCCGTTGTTGCTACTGCAGTCTATCTGTAGTTTCAAAGTCCCGGAATCATGCTTGCAGAGAAGTTTAATGGCCAAGGTGTTGTAGGTCAGGAAACTGTTTCTGCATCTCTCAAATTAAAGCTGTATTTTGAAGTACCTTTATTTCAAAATCAGTTAAATGAAGTTAAATTTTATTTTAAAAGATTTTGTGCCTGCCCCACCCCCGGCCCCCAAACGATGTTTAGCATTGAGTGTAATCATTGCCTGTTTAACATATAGGTGGTAACTCAGATTCTAATGAGGCAATACCTACGTTTTATCTTGTGTAAATAAATTTGGAAGTATCAGGAAAAGGGTTTTGTGCCAGTGGATTGGAATATAACTGAACTCAGACTTTCCTCAGCTGGTTGTCCCCAGTAAGACTAAGTATGTAATGCCCAGCTTCCTACACATTGTTGATTCAGGCTCTTGTAACATTGTACCAACACTGTTTGAAGCTCAGTTGGGGGTAAGGGTGCAGCGGGGGGAGCACAGAGCCGCAGAGCTTGGTGGGGAGGAAAGGAGAGCCGACAACAAAGCTGGAGTATTTGTGTTCCTTTAAACTGGACTGGTCGCCTGTGCCTTGCCCCACTGTGCCCCACCCTCACCTCCCCAGCTTGGTGACTTTCCTTCCAGGCACCTGCCATCCCTTGGTGCCGGTTTCCCAGGGCCTTGGACCCCTGCCTCTGTCTATTGACTGTGAACTGACAAGAGTTCAGCAAGGGACAGGGTGACCTGTTTAGAACAGGCCCTACTGAATTCCGTGCCCCCGGGGTAGGAGCTTTTAACTATAAACCCTTGTGATAAAGGATCCTCCCTAGTGGGACTCCACCAAAAAGCAGAGGGGGGCAGATGAACTCAAGATTAGTCCTCGTTATTTCAGCAGCGATGCTTCTCCTTTTCTAACAGTTTTCATCCAGGTAGAAAAATTCCAGCCCCCTCCTTTGGAGATTAAAACAGATGCAAGTTTCCATGTTGTTTCATAGATAAAAAATTCAAGCATCCTGTAATACTTTCCACAAGACAACAAGTGAATTTGTATTGTAAAGTGACCATGTGGAAAGGGAGAAAAATAATGGACCATAAAGAGGTTTCTAATGTCCTTTAACTGTGTCATTTATACAGAATACCTGAGGATTTATTTAACCAAAACATTAATAAAATTTGTTCTAAATGTATTGAATGTAAAATAAAAAGTGAATTCAACCATAACTTAAGACAGGTGCTAAAACTCATCAAATTGTGTATATTAAAAATATTCATTAAAGAAATTATTTTAATTATTTTTAGAGAAAGAGGGAGAAAGAGACACAGAGAAAGGCTGATGTGAGAAAGAGAAACATGGACTGGTTGCCTCTCGTAAGCATCCCATCTGGGGATGAACCTGCAACCCAGGCATGTGCCCTGACCAGGGATGGAACCAGCGACCTTTCACTTTGCAGGATAACACGCAACCAGCTAAGCCACACTGATCAGGGCAAAACATGCACTTTTGGGGTATAAAAGTTATACTTCACTAGAGCTAGTAAAAATATATGTACATATAGAAGGAGACATAAATATCATGTTAAAACAAAAAAGATAAGTGCCTATATTATATCTGTAGTTCACACTGGAGCTTGAATTTGTTTTAAAAATATCGCTGCTTGAAATGCACCATTGAGTATCCTGTGCTACATGGGATATATTTCTGTAAAAGAGTTTCAGTGAAATTGGTAATCATAGTACATATGATAACGGCCAGTAAGATTGGAAATAGCTTGTTTTCTTACTGCTTACTCCTTGCTGACTTAGGTATTTCAAAGTCCTAATTGTGACCTTCCTTTTTTGTTTAATAGCTGGTCATCAGTTACAGATGTCGTTTCCTTTGAGCAGCTAGCCTAGACCTGTCCCCCAAGCTTTAATAGCCTTGTGGTTTGGCCAGCATCTGCCGCCGCAGATTGTGACCTTGCCAGTGGGCCCTGACCTTTCACGTGCAGCTTCCGAGGCGTGAGCCTGGACCTCCGTCAGCAGTACCATGTTGGGAGGCCGTCTCCGGTGGCCACATCTGCCCTACAGACCTCGCCTCTGGAAGCACTTTGCTGGGCTGTGCTAACCCCCCTCAGAGACCGTTCCCTCTGGGGCAGTCTCTAGTGAAGCTCTGCCACCGAGCTGTGAAAGAAAAGAACAGGAGAAAAGGGTGTTTCGCCCTGGCTGGGTAGCTCAGTTGGTTGGAGCTTTGTCCCTATACACCAAGGTTTCAGGTTTGATCCCTGGTCAGGGTACTACAGGGAGCAACCAATGAATGCCTAAGTCATTGGAACAACAAATCGATGTCTGTCCATCTGTGCCTCTCTCTCTCTCTCTCTCTCTCTCTCTCTCAATAACAATAATAATAATAAAGTGTGTCACGTCTGTGTTTTGTTTCAATACAATCTTTTCCTGAGATGCCCCCATCAGCCTCGCTAAGTGTGTGCTTGTCTTCCTGCTTCAGAATTCAAATGGGATTTACACTGGCTTCATTAAAGTGCAGATGGAACTCTGCAAACCTCCGCAGACTTCTCCGGACTCGGGGAAACCCGCGCCCAGTAGCAATGGCTGTATGAACACTCTCCACATCAGCAGCACGAACACTGTTGGGGAGGTGATTGAGGCCCTGCTCAAAAAGTTTCTCGTGACTGAGAGCCCTGCCAAGTTTGCACTATATAAGCGCTGTCACAGGGAAGATCAAGGTATGTGCCATGCTTAGAATGAAAGTCGTCTCTGCTTTTGTCTGCTGTCCTCATTAGCAGAAGGAAGGCTAGTGGGTGTATAATCTCTGGTCAGTTACAGCGGAGCCAGGGATGGGTTCCGGAAGACATGGTGATCATGACATGAGCTTCATGCCTCCCGGGATGTCCGTCTTTTTGAGTTGGACAGTTGTGCATCTGAAGAGCTCACACGCATCCACACGAGATAGGTTTTTATGTATATGGGGGATGGCTTCGATTTTTTTTTTTTTTTTTTTTTTGGTAGCTTTGATTTTAATGCTCTTTAGGACAAAAAAGGATGCCCCTGTGGATGAAGTCTGCAGCAGCACATCCCACATTAGAAGTGCATCTGAACACGGAGTGGCCTGGTGCACTCGTGGTCCCTGAGGCCTTGCGGATGGGGAGGCCCATGTGTACTGCTGCACATTTCATGTTTACTGACGTAACTGGCGCAGCCCCGGGCTCTTCCCCCTCTTTAGTTTGTCTCTGGCCATTACACTGGGGTATTTTGGCACCCAGCCCCCAAGAGGCACTTAAAATGGGTGGGTAGATCTGGGGTCTGCCTGTCTGAACTTAATACCCACATTCAGTGGGCAGAAAGAGAATATTAAATTTCTGCCTGAAACAGAATAAGATATTCCAGATCAGGTATTTGAGCAGAAATGGACCCCAGTGGTGGACAGCAGTGACTGACTAAGTGCTAACTGAAGAACGGGGTCTGTGTCTGTGTGTGAGGGGTCACCTATTTACGTTCTCTGGTTTTTCTAGGTAAAGCCTTAAGCAGCTCTAGAAGACAATACTACTAACCTAACATGATAGGAATGCCCTCACGGCATGGGGATGAAACCCAGCTAGTTGCTGAGTGTACATACATTTTTTGAATCCGTACCATGGACTGGGCCCTGCAGAATACAAGGATGAATGGACCGAGGTTTCAGCCCTCAAGTCCACAGGCTCAGTGAGCAAGGCGAGTTCACATCTGTAGGGAAATCCGCACCTACAGTGCAGTGGCACCCAGAAGTGCCAAAATCACGTAGAGAAGCTCAGATGGCATTTTTATCTTGCCAGCTGCTCTGCCATCTCACCTGGACTTAGCTGTACAATCCTGTTGAAATACTACCTTCATGGCTGGCGAATCGTTTAACACCATAGGCGATGCCAGTACTCTGTGTGTGATGAGACACATTTAGCTGTGCTTACGGCCACCAAAGCTTGTATTGCAACTGCTTAGTTTGTTTGTGGCTGCTAATTCTAAGTTAATTTGCAGAGAGATTTGCTCCTAGAGCTCTGATTTCATATGCTTTGGATTGTGTTGAAAGGGGTTGCAGATTCTTTTTTAAGTTTCTTATCTCGCGTTCTCCAGGGAGGAGCAGAATTAATTATAAGCCATTTGGGGGACGAATACCCATTTAAATTCATTCATGAAAATTATTTCCTTTTTGACCAAGGCACAGCGCATATTGTGCAGCTAGAAAGAATAGATTTCCTTCCACTGTGGGTCACTGGTAGTGAGATAAGGAGAACGTTGCCTTGATCTGGAGGAGGGAGGGAGGGTCCCGTGTGTGTGTGGTGGAGGGAATGAGTCAATGCTCTGCCTGCGACCTGCTCCTTGTTTCCTTACCCAGTCTACGCCTGCAAGCTCTCAGACCGGGAACACCCTCTCTACCTGCGTCTGGTAGCAGGGCCCAGAACAGACACACTTAGTTTTGTTCTCCGTGAACATGAAATTGGAGAGGTAAGTGATTGTACATTACTGCTTTAAACTACACACGCCAGCTGGTCCTGTTTTATTGCTCTAGCCTAGCGATTTTACCACTAGAAAGGAGGAAGAAGGTGGGGTGGGGAAGACAGGGAGAGTGTTTGCTGTTGGGTTGGTTAGTCCTGTGCAGGGCAGCTTGCGGTGTGTTTTGAATGGTTCGAAGTGAACCTAGGGTTAGTCTATAGTATAATTCTTTTACAACACTCATTATATTGGTCTGCGATTTTCAGAGGTAGAGGAAATCAAACTTTTACTTGATCTCCACCCAAAGAGTCATTTTCACCCCTTCTACATCTAAATTCCTCTAATCCAGCTGAACTTTGAAAGCCGACACTCTCCATATGTTTGCTGCTAACAAAGTCTCCAGGCTAATTTGCTCCAAAGGGAAATAAAAGGGAATTCAATCTCTTTACGAGGAAAGACATTTAACTTTGTAGAATCCTTTTTTTTCCTCTTTGCCCAGATGATTAAGAAATTATGCTTACGTATGTACCATCATTTGCCATTTTCTTTCCAGGGGGGATTGTATTTAGGCCAGTGCAGTTGAAGGAGAAAGCACTTTAGACTGTCCTTGTAGATCAAGTGTCAACTTTAAAAGGACACTCGAGCAAATCTCTAAAGCTCTGGGTCTCACTCAGTCTTTTGTCTGGAACAGGAAATGGAACGAATTGCCCGTTTTGCGACAGCAGCAAAAATAGGGTTTCTGGGTTAAAAAGTTAGGGAACTAGGTATGACCTTGGGTAAATCTGATCTTTTTGGTCCTCAGTCTTAAAATCTGTGAGGTGTGGGACTGAGGACTTTAAAAAGTAGTTTTAAGTCACAAATTAGAAATGTATGTAAACATGCTTTGTAAATACTATGCTTATGTCAGTGTAAATTGGAATTTACTTTGGAGAATTTTAGGAAGACAGTAATTTTGGACACTGGAAGTTTCTTTTGATTCTGATCTGAAGTTTTTAAGATTTGCCATCATTCTGGGGAGGAAACTGGGCCTGGCCTTGTAACTGGCACGGGGAGGCGTTCCCTCAGATAGGCCTGCTGGATGTTATCAGCAGAGTCTGGCCAGTGTTTAATTTTCCTTGGTATTGGTCTTTTAAGTATTGCACGTAGTTCAGTGCAATGAGAGCTACATTCGTTGTTTGGGAGGGAATTAAGGTTTTGAGATTTCCATTGTGTTTTAATGTTCTGAATTGCTTTATTAGACTTGTGCATGGTGCCCTTGCTCCTCAGCGCGCCAAGGTTAACCAAACTGAGGGAACGAACAGCGCTGTAGCTGTCAGGGACAGGGAGGAACTTACTTTATTTTGGGGAACATTCGTGATAAATAAAATTGTAACTTTAAAGATTTAAAAGGATATTCCAGTGTAGAAAGTTTTGCTCTCCTAGTCCATGTTTCTCATTTTCTTTAATAACCAAAATCCATTTCCGGGAACCTTCTATCATTGAGCCCACTTGCTGGTTTTATTCCATCTCCTCTCTGTTCACTGCATTAGGTCTTCTCCAGGCTTTCCCCTGCCCCACACCCCTGGGAATTCTTTATAAGAGTCGGTCCTGGCTGTTGTAGAGATTCCCAGCCAGGAGCCAGGGCCCCTTTTTGGGACAGCAGGATGTGTAGTTCGAAAAAAACTCCTAGGTGATACCATATAGCCTTCCTGACATTCACTGCTCTAATGAAAAAGGAAAAAGCAATGCCAAAAACATGTATTTTGTGTCTTCTAAGTACCAGGAGCTTTTAGGGAAACAGAGCTCAGAGCCTCAAGGGCAAGAGACAAAGCCCAAATAGTGAGAAGTAAGATAGCTACGATCTAGGTGAGAGGGATGCTCAGTAAATAAATATAATAATTTTTATAGCTTTTTTAAAAACAGATTTTATTTATTTTTAGAGAGAGGGTAAGGGAGGGAGAAAGGGATGGAGAGAAACATTGGCGTGCGATTGGTTGCCTCTCGCACACCCCCAACCAGGGACCTGGCCTGCAACCCAGCCATGTGCCCTGACTGGGAATTGAACCGGCAACCTTTTGGTTCACAGGCTGGCATTCAATCCACACCAGCCAGGGCTTTATATCTTTTTTGATCAGGGTTACCAGTGCTCAGTGAGAACTTTCTAATAGACTTAGTCCTAGATGGAAAGGGAGGGGAAGAAATCATGGAAGGCTTCTTAGGGAAAGTGGCATTTAAGCTGAGACCTGACAGTTGAGTAGGAGTTCTCCAGGCAAAGCCGAGGAGGGGAGAACATGTGCAAAACCACTTGGGGCAGTAAGTGAGGGCGTCAGTGTAAGAGAGGTTAGGGTCTTCTCTTACACTTAGCAGAAACAACCAAGGGAAGCCAGTGAATGATTCTAAGCATGGGAAGGTCATGACTAGATTTGCATTTTACAGAGAGTACAGTAGTCCTCCCTTATCCATGGTGGCTGCATTTTAAGACCCCCAATGGATGACTGAAACCGCAGATAGTACCAAGTCCTTTTGACTTAAAGGAGGCACTTTACAGCTTCTCTTTGTTGTATCTGAATTGCCAGCATCACTACTCTTGTGCTTTAAAGTAAAATAAGGGCTACTTGAGCACCAGCACTGCAAAATTGGGACACACATTCTGATAACCAAGATGCTACTAAGTGACTCAGGGGCAGGGAGCATATACAACATGGAGACACTGGGCCGAGGGGTGATTCATGTCCTGGGAGGAGGAGGGGTGGAGCGGGTGGGTCAAGGTTTCTTCAGGCCACTCACGATGACATGCAATTTAACACTTAAGAGTTGTTCATCTCAGGAATTTTCCATTTAATGTTTTTGGGCCATGGCTGACCTGGATAGCCGAAACCATGGAAGGGAAATTGCAGGTGTGGGGCGCGGGGAATGACTTCCTGTTCAGGCTGGCTCTTTGGGAAGTAGATCAGGGAGCATGGAGTGGAGTGAGGAGGCCAGGTAGGAGGACCGGGCGGTGGTGCCTAGCACCGGGGGGAGGCGGGGGGGGGGCAGTTGAGATGGGCAAAAGCATGCAGACTGGAGAACTGTTTAAAACGGACACGATTAAATGGATCGTGGGCAGTAAGAAAGAAGACGGTGACAATGATGTCTCTAAGTGGAGGGAAGAGACGGACGGAGTGTGGGGCTGTTTCTAATGCTTCTGGGGGTCCAATCAGGAGTGACCGTGTCTAGAGGACTGGGGGACGTGCAGGCCCCGGGCTTGGGAGGACGACGGGAGCGGGTGCGCAGCTGAGGCGGGGTCGGCGTGGCAGGGCTGGTGACGCAGCGGGGCTCCTGTAACCAGGGCCTCCGCGGCTCACGGGCCCTGGGCCTGGAGCACGGGGAGGGGAGCCCCGCCCTACCGTGTGCTCGTGGGCGGCATTCCTGAGTCCTGGCAGAACTGAACACCTGACATTTTTCTTTTCTGCCCATTCCTAGTGGGAAGCCTTCAGCCTTCCAGAACTGCAGAACTTCTTGCGTATCTTGGACAAGGAAGAAGACGAGCAGCTGCAGAGCCTGAAGAAGCGCTATGCGGCCTACAGGCAGAAGCTGGAAGAAGCCCTCAACGAGGTGTGGAAGCCCGACTAAGGGCTCCTGTCACTCAGGGCGGCGCAGGGACCGCGGACAAACCGGCAGCAAGTGTCTCTTCTCGGAGGGCTTTGCCTTGCCCTGTGATGCGAGGCGCTTCCCCATTTATCTCTAGATTTAGTTCCCCGACCTGGGCCCGCGGCACCTGCGCCCTCGGAGCCTCTGGAAGGGACTGTGCGCTCTTGTCCTTACAGCGCTGCGGCCACACCTCCTGGCAAGCTGAGACTCAGGAGCAGCTGCAGTGCTTTGAAGCATGGACTCTGGGTTTTTGTCTTCTCATTTTCCTCTAGTTATTTTAATTATGTGAAGATGATGTTAAGCTTAAGGATGTGCACATGATTTTTTAAAAGCTTAACAAGGAACCTGTCTGAATACTTGTCCTGTGTTGAAACTACCTGTCTGGTTTTGTTTTGTTTTTTGTTTTTTTTGTTTTGTTTTGTTTTTTAATATCAGAGGGAACAGCCATGTGAATTGAAAGGCACAGGAAGCTAGAAACTCTGAGGACTTTGTGAAGGATTTTGGAGAAGTTTGGCATTTCAAGAAAGTAAAGAGCAGGTTTGGAAGAAGGTGTTAGTGGAGATTGGGGGAGCTGTGAGGGTGGGTGGTTTGGGTGATGAGTAGCTCGCAGAGAAGAGAAGGGTGTATTTGTTTGTGAAGGAGTTAAAAGCATTCAGTTTTGAGGTATGAAACCCATTGTAGGATTGCTTCATTTCTTGGTGAGTAACATGTGGGAACAGAGCCAAAGAAAGTCGAGCTAGACCAAAAAGGGGCTTATAAGTGCAGCTGATGGGAAAGGCAACATTCCAGCAGGTGGGTCTTGCGGAGCTGGGCAGAGCCTGGAGCCCCCTCAGTGGCCCAGCCCCCGGGTTCTGCCTTCCTCACGTGGAAGGGCAGTTGGTGCAGCTTCTCGGGCAGGTGCAGCAGGACTACTTGCTAACTCCTGTTAAGTTACAGCTTTTTCCTGAGGTTGTCTTCTTGTCTTCAAAGCTAAAAAGGAGTCAGGGTAGGGGCACCTGTTTCTCCCCGATTGTTAGCCAGGAGATTTGTCAAGGAAAGAGCTCACACACACGTTTGTGACAATCACTCCCTTCCATTGGCCTCCTTCCCTCTCCCTTTCTCTCCTTCTCCCTTACTCTTAGAAATTGAAGTGTGTTCCTGCATAATGGAGAACAGGGTTGTGGATGAAAGACCTAATCCAGTCAGCTCCTGAGTCCCAGAGGAGGACTTGCCTGTGAGGAGGGCGGCAAGGAAGGGAGGAAAGCCCACCCCCAGCTGACCACAAGAGGGGCTCTTCATGGGAACATTTCAACACAAGTGCATGTTCCTACCAACCAAAGAAAGGCATGTGCAATAGGAGCCTTCCTTAAAGCAGGTTAAATAAACTCACTCAATGGAGCAGTTAATCTGAAAACAGTGGGAAAGGTGTGCCGTGGTTCTAGAGGGGGATTTACAGTCTATTTTTTGTCTTGATTTTTTTGTTGTTTATAAATTCCCAAGGAATTGTTAATGCTTTGGTGACACCTAATGGATTCTTTGTGAAATTCCAAGGTGCTTCAGTTCTTTGCCTTTTAAGTGAACTGTGCCTTTTATTGCATTTCTCTTTCCCTGTCCGTGGCTCTTGTGGCCGTCAGAGAACACCCATCTTGTTGGAGGCAGATGGAAGTGTCGGTGATGCTATGCCACACGTTACTGAGACAATCGTATCTTCCTAAGCTTTTTAAAGAAAGTTGGAAAAAAGAAAAGTAGAACTAGCTATAAAATATGTATGGCACATCTTGTTTAATTTTGCATGTAACTTCTTTTTAGTACATTGATGAGGTTGTAGTGTTATTGTCATCCAACACTTTATTGTTCAGGGAATGCCTTTGTGGTTTTTATACTGGTTTTACTATTCAGACTATAGCTTGGGTTTGAGTATAGTGTTATCAACCACCTGGTCCTTGTATTACCCATCCCAGTAAGCTTATATTTTGTGAAGCATTTCTTTCTCAGATTAAGACACTGTTAGAACCTACAGTAGTAGTCAATGGGTATCTGTGAATTTTTTTTTTTTAACTTGAAGCAGATTGTCTAAAATAGGCATCCTCACCTGTGTTATCCAGAACCCTGTTAATTGTCATGTGCACTACAAGTTTCAATTTGGAAAACTTACTGTGCAGAAATTCTGTCAGCTCATGGTTCTGGAAGACTGATGTTCTCTCCAAAACACTGGTTACTGAGGCAGCATTGTTAATGCAAAGAAGAAGGGTCCCTGAGGCCACTGGTTTTTAAAAATCATTGTGCAAATTCTTATGTTAAATTAAACTAAGCTTTGCTGTAATACTGTTTTCTCTTCAATATGCGATGGTACAGGAATGATGTTAAATGAAGGGGTAAGTATTGCAGGGGAGCATTTTAAATTGCAGACATAAAAAGTTATAATATTTATAATTTTGATGAGTTTTAAGTTTATTTTATAGGGAAGATTTTTCATCCCTAAAATTGTTTTTGGAATGACAATTTGTTTCCATTATTAAAAGTTGATATTGTTAGTTGACGTATGTGTGTTTTTATTTATGATGCTGCACCAGATAAATGAAGGTCACAGGAATGGGATAAACTTTTGCAGATACCTGGGGACACATGCCGAATGTGACAAGTTTTACTAGGTTTGAGTGGAACACATTTGTTCTTTCACATGTCATTTTTCCTTCGCCTTGTCCTTTGGGGGAAAAAACCCTAGCTGAGTGTCTGCCCATACAATCCATTACTAAAGCAGCTGTTTTAATCATGAGATATGCATATATTCAAAGTGTATAAAGCATGTGAACAGTTTAAAGAATTACAAAGTGGGACACCCTGTGGCTACTACCAAAATAGAACATTGTAGGTTCCTTAGAAATCCTCTATCCCCCATCCCCCAATTCTTATCCCTGAGGTCCTTGAAACACAACATAAAAAGTATTAGTATTATTTTAGTCAACCTGACTGTCACATGGGTGAGGAGTGTTTGGTGGTCAACGATGGCGACTGACTGGGTTCACTCGCTCCTCCCACCCCACGCCCCTGTGCACCGCCTTCAGGTCTTAGGCCTGCAAGCCTGCGGTAGGTCAGTGTTTTTGCTACTGCACTGCCCCCTAGTGGCAGTGAAGTAGCAGAGCGGCGCCGATTATAGCGGGGAAACGTTTCAAGTGCTGTAGCTGCTTCACAAGGAAATAAATACATGGTAGAAAATGATGGCTCTATATGATGTTCCTTTTTCACTGAAATATCCAGAGGAATCTAATTTGGGAAGTCAGCCTTGGCTAGTATCCAAGGTGCAGGGGGATGGTTTGAAATTTTTATTCTTTTAAGGGATTTAGCTTCCTGCCCTAGGCTTCTCTTCAGAATTTGTCACAGATTGATAACTTATTTAAATAAATATTTATATGTTACAAAGTCAGTTCTCAAGGATTGTATATGGGACTCTGTCAGATGATCCCATTAGGGGTTTTGTATTTTTGAAAGAGGGAAAGCCTCTATATGATATTCAAACAAAGTGCTTACTGTGTGCCAGGCATTATTCCAAAAAGCTTCCTATGTGTTACCTCATTTCCTCCCCCTCAGCCCCATTTTGCAGGTAAGGAAACAGACATGCCTCAGGGTCCGGCAGCTTGCCCACGGCCCCTCTGTGAGCAGGCTGCGCCCCAGCGGTCCGGCTCTGCCTCTCCACCCTCTTCCTGGGAGCGCATTCCAGCCTGTCAATTAAATGGCCTGTTCAAAGCCTTTTTGGTTGCCTCTAATGGGCAGTTCACCTGAAAGCAGGTCTCTCTGGGTGTAGTTGGGATTTATGAGACACGAAAGGACAGCCTTGATGTCAGAATGCTGTATCATTTTTGTTGTTGTTCATTTAACATTCCATTGAAGTGATTATATGAAGTTACGTAGAGGGAAACATTTGCCTGTGTTACTGTTTGCAGGTTCTGTTGCATGAGAGAAACTGACAGGGCAGGTGACTGAACCCAGTGTCCTCACTACAGTTAGCGAGATAACCCCCTGCAACCACAAAGAAGAGTAGCTTCAGAGTTCCAAGTTTGGGAGGAGCCCCCAAGCACATCAAGGATGATCCTCTTCAAAAGAACATAGGAAACTAAGTGTTTTAAGTCTTTAAAGTATACACTTGTCTGGTGAATCACTGCTCGCTTTATTAAGTGTGCAAGAAAGCAGCTTTGTATAAAGATTGCAGGGGGATGGGGCCGGGAGAGGGGAGTGGGCAATGAGAGATAATAACTGCAAAGTTTTTGGCTTTATTTTGTTTGGTTTTTGGTTAGTGGTTTTGGTTTCTTTTGGCCAAATTTTCCCTTTAATTTTACAAGGTGAGAATGGAGGGGTAGAGGACAGACCCTTTTTGATCTTAATCGTTTCCAAAGACAGTTGAGATTCTCAGGTTTGGCTGAGGTAGCACTTGGCAGCAGCTGACCTCCAAAAGTTCCTCGCTTCTTCCCATTTCCAAGAAAAGCGAGTATTGGAGCTTTAAGATGTGCACTTGCTTGCACACACACAAGCTAAATCTGGGTTTGGCTTTGTTTTGGGAAGGAGTTCTGTCAACCAGGATGGTTTGTTTTTATCTTTCTAAACAAGGAGCCTTACCTTTAATGGGCCTCGATCCTGAGTGGCACAGATCTGGCGGTGTTTGCCCCCTCCCCTCACTTTACCCACCCTTTATGGGCACGTGGGGTTAATTAAACCCTGTGCAACTCCTTTTCTCTGAAGTGGAGTTCTAGGGGGCTCTGCTCTAGAGGGCTTTCAGATTTTCAAGTGTCGTAACATTTTCTTAAATTCTAGGCATTCTGGAACAGCAAACTGTAGTGTCTTGCCAAACCTTAGAATCCTTGAGTTATTACAACAATAGAGAGACAACAAGCTTGTATTCCAATTTCTTAATCTGAACAATAAATGGTGTCTTCATAGTCTTTTCAAAATGGAAAACATTTCAAATTTTTTCTTGCATGTGTGCTCTCTCAAGGAAAATGTTCAAAGTTGATAATTTTTTAGTAAAAAGCATGTTTTCTAATGCCTTATCAATAAAAGATGCTTCTCTGAGAACACAAGGGCAGCAATAGAAATTGAGGAACTTGGGTCTCAGCCTTCAGAAAAGTCCAAGTTCCATTGCCTTTTTTCTTCTTTTTAAAAAAGATTTGATTTAGTTACCTTCAGAGAGAGGGGAAGCGAGGGAAAGAAACACTGATGTCAGAGAGGTGTGCACCCCCGGTGGGGTCCAAACCCGCAGCCCCGGCATGCGCACTGACCGGAACTGAACCAGCGATCTTTCACTTTGCAGGATGATGCCCGACCGGCCACAGGGGTCGGCGCGCCTTTTTTCCAAGTGCACTTTCCTTTGGGGGTTTGTGTGTGCTGGGGAAGGGAGTGAGCTTCAAGGAAGACAACCAGCTAGTGTGCCGGGGTGTGGATGAGGCCATGAGGGATGTTTCTGTCCTGTGTCACCTCGTGCTCCTCTCAGTTTGCTTTTTAAAATTCTGTTCTGCAAGGTGATCAATTGAGTAGGTATTGTGAAAAGTTATTTGTTATGAAGCCAGTGATTGGGAAAGGGCAGCGTTTAGGATCTGTTGGAAGAGATGTCAAGAGAAAATGGCATCCCTGCATTGAAATGTTTCCTTAAAAAAAACCTGAATTTGTACAAGAAAGTGGTGAGTCCTGCATATTCCTAATTTTGCCTAGTTTCTGAAAAGCTTGCCAAATGACATGCTGGTATTACTGCTGCTACCAACTTCTTGATTCCCTCAGAAATTCAGTTTACAGTTTTCTGCAGTAAATACAGCTTTGGTGCGTAGGGTCAGTAATATTCTAACAACATTTAAGCTTTCATATTATTGGAAATACAGTAAGATTTATGTTTATTAAAATGAGAATTATTATTATGGTTCTTCACTCCCTGCCTTTCTTCCTTTTTCTTTTCCAGCCAACAGCTTGGAACTAATTGCAATCATATTTGAGGAATGAGTATATCTGGTTTACTGTCCAGCTGTTATATCTGTATTATAATCATCTTTTTTCCAGACTTTTTATGTTAGTTCTGTTCATTGCACAAAAAGAAACTTGAGTAGAACACCAAGTGTTTTAATTTCTTTCAACAAATATTTATAAATCACCCTGAGGATGTTAGGTACTGGGTAGATTCCAGTGAGAAAGAACAGCATGACCCTTTTCTTCATGGAAACCAGAGGCCACCTGTAATGCAAACTGGCAAGCGTAATGAAGGTCAAGTGCAGAGGGTTATGAGAGTTTAGGAGATTAGGGAAGGCTTCTCGGAGGAAGTGAACTAGAGCTGAGATCTTAAGGATGAGTAGGAGTTACCAAGCAGAACTCATAACTTCGATGAAAATTTCCTGCATAATGGGGACTGGTTTCTGGGGTCTTTTGGCAGCATGTAATGTCAGCATTACTCTCGTGTTTTTCCTCCATTATGAGAAAAGAACTAGGGTTAATTTCTCCCTAGGTTGAGTTCCTCTTTGGCAGCAGAGTTAAAACTTACAATGGCAGTTGCTGTGGGTCAGACCAGCTTTTTTCCCTGTAAAGTGTTGGCTTCTCTCACACGGCTGATGTGAGGAGTGAGAAAGATGGTGAATGTGCATGCCGGGAATTTGCATGCCGGGAAGCCCGATACCATGCAAGGTGGCATTATTTTGCGAGTTCTTGTTCCTGCAGTGGTTTTCATGCCTGCTCTACCCCTGGGCCAAGGTGCTGATACTAAAATTCATCTGGAAGCATCCCCCAGGATGCAGTTTCCAAGGGGGGCATTTTTCTAAGCAGAAACTTTCTGGTTTTTAAACTCAGGCTTAGGGAAGGAAGTGGAGTTACAAGCAGAGCACTTAAGATTCTAATCTAGGGTGACTGGAAGCTCGAAATCACTGCCTTCTTTTGTGCTCCCCCTAAACACAGTGGCAGAGTGTTGTCTTCTCTGGCAGCTTAGAGCCCAGTGCCCAGAGCAGCTGGGACTAAGGGATGCCTGTGCTGTCATGTCACTGTGAGGCGAGAGCCATGCTGAGACACCCAGGCCTGGGGGCCGCGTGGAGGTGCAGTCGGGGGCGGGGGCTGTCCTCGGGGTCGGGGGGCCGTCCTCCACTCTTGCTCCCGCTCAGCATTGTCCTGCACATGGCTACCCGCCTCCGCACCCCCCCCCCCCCCGTCAAGTCATCTCCTGGACTGGGTCCTCGGCTCACTTTGCATCTCTCCCAGCTGCAGAGCACATCTGTGGGACTAAACATTCTGTAGACCTCTCCGGAGACAGCCACTTGTGCCACTTTGGGGCAGGAAGGGGCTTCTGCCGACGGCCCCTGAGCTGCAGTTTCCTCAAGTCCGTGTTCTTCCGTGGCCGAACCCTTACCAAGGGCCTTCTGTGGTACTGCAGGAAGACGAAAGGGGCAGGAGGACTGAGGCCTGTTTTCGTTCTCCCCTGCAGGGCAGAGAACCAGAGCGGGCACCTGGGCTTCGTTTTTTGTGGCAGCAGCCACGAAAGCAAAGTCAGAGGCTGAAGGCTGCCCTGCTAGACTCAGAGTCAGTAGTCACTCATTCCAGGCTGCTCAGAAGAATCCAGGCGGGCACGCTGATCTCAGGCCTAACGTTGCTGCTCACCTACGCTGGGAGGTGCTGGGAGATGGGAGGACGGGAAGAGAAGTGCGCAATGCAGCCGTTTGCAGCCATTTTCTTAGGGACTTAAGCAAGAACAGAATGAGTTGTGCTTCTGAGTTCCTTTCCTAGCTTTGGGACGAGGCAAGGGAGTGAGTGAGCGTCTTGATTTGGACAACAGGTGCATCAGACACCAGGCCAGAATCCTGACACGCTGCAGCTGCGAGACCTGCTCGGCCCTCCTGTTCTGCGCTCCCCCGCGCTAGCTTTGTGAGTTACGGAGACCCCGGCAGAGGAGACGGATTTGTGACTGGAGCCTGCCAGCCAGAGAGAGTCCATTAAAATATTTTCCGCCATGTGCCGAGAACATTTTAGCAACTATTTCAACAAAGAAGCTTCTACTTGGTTTTAGTAACAATAGCTGGGAGCCAGTGTTGATAGTCCCAAAGCATGTAATGTACATAAGACTCCCTCCTCCCTTTGGCAATAAATTGAGCCTTTACCAATAGACTCTAGCTTTGCCCTCTCCCAGGTACCTACAATTGGATAGATTTTGACAAAAGGCATGACTCAGTTTTTCCCTGGGTACACCTGTATTGGTTATTTTATGAGTCAAGTATTGCTGCATAACAAATTACTGCAAAATCAGCAGCTTGAAACATTAACGTTTAATACATCATGTGGTTTCTGTGGGTCAGAAGTTTGGAACAGGTTAGTTGAAGGTTCTGGCTTATGTGTGGGGGCGGGGCAGGGGTGCCATCTCATGATCTAAGGTGTTGGCTGGGCTGGGGGATCTGCTTCCGAGGTGGCCTCTCTGCTGGCTCGGGACACTTGCCGTTGTCTTCCCACCTGCACCACCTAGACCTCGCCCTAAGGCTACCTGGGTGTCTTCATACGGTGGCAGGTTTCCCCCAGAGTAGTTCGAGAGACAACAATGTGGAAGTGGCTTATGAGCGAGCCTCAGAAATCACACCATTACCTGTGTCCTGTCCCATTGGTGGCGTGGACCAACGCTGATGCATTGCAGGAAGGGACCGCACAGGGTCATTAGGGCCACCTTGGACACTGGCTTACCACAGCCATGCTGGAAGTAGGTAAACGAGGTGTGAAGAGCAGAGCTCTGTTTTGATTTCTTTTCCAACAGCCATGCTGTGAAGTGGGACAAGGAGCCACCTGAATTAGGGTACCTTCATTCTGTCTGCAGCTAGTTGCCTTGTAAATAGAGATATCAGGAGCAAGTTCTCTTTTCCTTTTTTTCCAGTGTTAACATTTGCTTTACATATTAAGGTGTTCCACTGTTGGGTGCATAAATATTTAAGGACCTTATGTCCTCCTGTTGGATTAATCCCTTTATCATTGTACATAATCCCCCCCGTCTCTGATTACAGTGTTTTATAGTTTGTCTGATACATGTATAGCTCTATTTTTTGGTTTCCATTTGCATGTAATATCTTTCTATCCCTCCACTTTCAGTCTGTATGTGCCTTTACATCTTAAGTGAGCCTCTTGTAGGCAGCAAGCATATGTATAGATGGGTCTTGTTTTTTAATCCGTTCAGCCACTCTTTTGATTGGAGAATTTAGTCCATTTACACTTATTGAACGATGTGTACTTACTGCCATGTTCATTGTTTTCTGGCTGTCTTGTAGTTCCTGTTTCTTTTCCTGCTCTCTTCCTTTGTGGTTTGATGACTTTTCTGAAGTAGTATGCTAAGATTATCTTTTGTGTATATATGAGACTACAGGTTTTTGCTTTGTGGTTACATTGAGGCTTACAGGTAACAACTGATATTTCTAACAGTCTACTTTAAGTTGAAAACTACTTAAGTTTGAACATGCTAAACCTCTATTTTCACTCCCCTTTTACGTTTGGTATCACATTTTACATCTTTTTATCTTATTACATAGTTTTTTAAATTATTACATAGTTTAACTTTCATGTTTAGAGGGGGAGGGAAAGAGGGAAACATCTATGTGTGGTTGCTCCTCAAACGCCCCCTACTGGGGGCCTGGCCCGCAACCCAGGCATGTGCCTTGAATGGGAATCGAACCAGCGACCCTTTGGTTTGCAGGCCAGCGCTTAATCCACTGAACCACACAGCCAGGGCTTACTTTTTGTCTTTTTAACCTTCATACTAACTTTACAAATGATTAACCCACTACTTTTTATTGTACATTTACCTTTACTAGTGAGATTTATACTTTCAAATGTCTTGTTACTTAATAGTACTCACTCTCTTCAGCTTGAAGTCCCTTAAGGATGGTTTAGTGGTGATGAGTTTTCTTGCTTGGAAAACTGTCTCCTTAAACTCTGAGTAACTCTGCCAGATAGACACCTCTTGGTTGGAAGTTTTTTATAAAGTGCTCTTTTTAACTTAATGTCCACTAGGTCAGGAATAGGTCGTAACCAGTGGGCAGAGTAAGCACTCAGATATATGATGGAGGGGAAAAATCCTTTGTAAATCAGGGATGGGAGTCTAACAGAAAGATGGCTTTGAAGCCAGATCTTCTTTAAAATCCCGACTCTAATTAGTTTTTTAAACTTGCATAAATTAAGCTGAGGGGAAAAAACCCTTCCTGCACAGCTAGTTTTAATCCTAGCACTAATTACAAGCATCCTTAGTATGTCTCCCCTTTGCGGACCTACCAGCATTAAGTCAGAGCTGCAGCTTAAGGGGGATGTCAGTGGATCTCAGGTCTCCTGAGCAGAAGGTGGTCATTGCAAGCTTCTCCTTAAGGACCAGGATTTAGAACAGTTACCTACTCTCCCATACTCTTGAGTTAGCTTCCGTGTCCCACCTTTAAATCTCGTTTTACGTAATTCCTAGGCCATCAGCAGCAGTCTCTGCACAGCGTGTGTCTGGGGCCTTTGGGTTCTCGGGTTGTCTGCTCTTGCCTCAACAGGCTTCAAGGTACACATATGACCAGTCCTTTAAACCCATTGCTAGTAGAGGAGGATGATGAAACAAAGGCTAATTCTGTAGGGAATGTGGTTCTATGCGGCAGGGAAGTCTCAGTGAAAATAGTTGAGATAAAGTAGGAAAATGGATCTGGTAGGGTCTGCGAGTAAACTTTCCCCTTTTTCTTGTTGATGGCTTCACACTGTGATACACCCAAACTGCCTGATTTTCTGGGAGTAATCTGGCAACTTTATGGAATCTTCTAACATCTTGTTTTTCTACTTGGCCTTCATGATTTTTAAGATATGAGGCAACTTTCTAGGTCTGAGGTTGGCAAATCATGTCCTGTTTTTGTAAAGTTTTAGTTGGAATGCAGCCACCCACTGAAGTAACTATTGATTAGGGCTACTTTCATGCTACAACAGCAGACTTTAGTAATTACAACAGTGACCACAAAGTCTACCAGCCTAAATTACTAACTTTCCCCTTTTAGGAAAGATTTTCAACTTCCACATGAAGTTAGCTGGGGCAGTGGATCGCATGACTGGATTATCAAGGCAAAACTCCTAGGAAGGTAAGCCTCGTTTAATTTAAAGCCAGCCAAGGCAGGATGATCTTTCTCCACAGCTCTAAATGCATGAAGACCTATCAGGATTCTCTGCGTGGTGCTTGTTTGGGGACCCCAGGCAGCAGGGACCACGTGTAGGAGAGCTTTCCAGGGATGGAGAGACTGTAGCACCCGACATGGAAGTGGCCAGTCTCCAGAACTTGGTGAGTGATTAAAACATGAAACAGCATCAAGAAAAAAAAAAAAAAAGCATCTTGTCAAAATTACTACTTGTGGACTAAAACAAAGGACACATTTCCACTAGAACAGAAATAAATTTTAATTTGTTGAAAAGTGCAGCAGTGAACAGGGTCCTTTGAAGGGCACTTTCTAAGTCAAATGACTGCAGTGACAGAACCAGGGCAGGATAACTTCTAGGAACAGATGCTGTAAACAGGAATCCACAAAATTCAGTGAGACGTAAGTGGTGGTAAAACTAAAGAACCTAAAGAGTTCCATCTAATTCCTTCAGGGGGTCAGGTGGAATACCCTTTGCTTTTTCTCAATAAGGATCCTGGGACAATTCTTTTGTTAAAAAAGCACTAATTCTTAAGACACTTAAAAATAAATTTAATAACATTTTTAATAGATTATAACTTCCATGGCTATCATGACTATTTTGTACAAAAACCCTAGTGTTGTTAATTTGTATTGACAAAAAATGTACTGACCAAAAAAAAAAAAAAAAAAAAAAAGTATCTTGCAACAGCACCATTGGTCAAATTCAAAGATGTTCAAAAGGGGTATCCTACTTGGTAATTTTTACTTGAGGAACAGCTCTGTAATAGATTTTTTTTATAAGGCAAAATTTATTTATTCCTATGGCCTCTCTTCATTACTAATGGGTATACAGTTCTCTACTCTGAAGAGTATGAACAGATATGAACCTGTCCTTCTTAAAATGGAAAATAATCAAAATTTGAGAGAGTACAATTGCATCGAGAGTGTACAAGCCTCTTGTAGTGGGTCCCTTGTACAAAGATATTTTCAAAAGTCCAGTGCACTTTGTAGTCTACTCGATTATATAAGCTGGGGCCTCTTAATGAAAGATAATTCTAGCACAGATCCAGCATGAAGCCTGTCCAAGAGAAACAGGTAGAAGCCCTTCTGCAGTTAAGGAGGAGACCTACCCGCAGAGAGGGCCTCACTGCATCCCCATCACCCAACAGAAGTCCGCTGGGTTTAAGAGCAGTGTGACAGGGATGTGTCGGCGCTGACTTGTGGATCACTCTGTGACTGTACCTGTTTCCAGGAACCAGCATCACAAATAAGTGAATAAGATGACATCACAGTACAAGACCTGGTAAGAGTTGGTGGTTTGTTTTTTTTTATTTGGGAATAACTATGGCATTGATTTGGAAGTTAAGTAATGTTAAGAATCAAAAGTATAGAATAAAGCTGATACCCATGTTCAATACTGTACTTTGCTGTTAGTTGCAAATTTTTATAATTTCTTTCCCTAAAATATTCACAGCAGAGGTGTTCACTTCATTTGCCTACTTCACCTCTAAGTGCCATCAGTTAATGGGATTGCATGAGGTAAACGAATAAACGCAACGGCTAGTAACCCACCACGGCTAGCTGGCATTCTGAGAGAAAAGTTGCTTATGACCATGTCTTACAAAGTGCTTAAAGCTCAACCTAAGACCTTAAATAAAGCTAAAATCACTACTGCCTGAGTTGAACAGGTTACAAACCACAGCTCCTCCTCCTTTCTGGTTGTCCCTCCACCAATTAGCCTTCTTGTGAAGAAAATGGTGGAAAACAGCATTGGTCTTCGAGCCAAGAAACAAAAACAGGTGTTCTAAATAGTGTGAGGAAACCTTAACAAGATCTGGTTTTCATGAGAATAGTGCATGGGGCCCAAATTACACAGGACTCTAAAAACAGGAAGAAATTTAAAGGGAAGTTGGGGTGAAGGAGCTGATACTTTCAACAACTAAGAAATTTTTATCTTAGCAAATGAACAGAATGTCAGCAAAATGCAGAGTATGTCAAAACAACTTCACACGTGGGGCTGAAACCCAGCCTCCCTGCGGGACAGGCACTTACTGCACCCCAACTAGAGTCCTTCAACCTGCCAACCTGAGAGCCCCATCTACAAAAGGCCCTCAAACGCTACCCTCACCAACCCTTGGAAGTTCCTCTTCTCTGCTGAGATATCTAAGCCACTTTATTTTTCCATGCTCGGCAGGGGGAAAGGATTGAGATAAGAGACACTCCCTCAACACCGCTGGTGTTAGCTGGTACTCCATGTGGTGAGCAGCCGCCGGAAAATAGCTGACTCTCACCATCAATAGCCATCTGGAATTAGCCTGTTCCAAGCCTGCTCTTCTATTTCAGTGTAGTACCAGTCCAGAATTCCCCCCAAACGAACAGCGCTTGGTTGACAGGTTCTGAATTTGCGCCCTTATCACGTCATACTGTGATGGGTATTACAAACAATCTATTTCTGCTACTCTAAAGACAACGGTACTTGTTCTTAATCAGATGATTTAGCTCTAATAGATATTCTTGAAGCCATGTGATGTTAGTATTTTTTGATCGTGGAGTGTTCGATCTGAAATGCTGTACAGGTCCTTTGATTTTTAGTTCAAGCTATAGATCAAAAACATTCCCCCCTAAAGCACTGCCATTTATCTGAATGGATTTATAAATTCAGACTTGGACCACATGGGGAATAATCAAGAGCTGAAGCCCTAGGACAGAAAGGGGATGGTGAGAACAAAGACCTCAGGAGCAGTCAGAGCAGCTGAATGAAGGGACCAGGGACAGCCACTCCTGACAGAAGGGCAGAGTTCACAGTTTAACACATTGCACAAGCTGGTCAGCTGATTGGGTTGCTTTTTAAACAACTTAAAGCCAGTCCAGAAACTCTTCCAGTTGTGGCCTTGAAGACTAGCTACAGACACCTACTACAATCACTTCATCAAAAGAGGCATTTGGGGACCCAACTGCAGAGGTCGCTACAGAAGATGTTTTGAAAACCTTCGTGTCCTGCCACCACCGTAATTGTTGAACATGAGGCGGGGGTCAAACCTGTATCTGGGGAAGAAAAATAAAAGGCTGTCACGTTAACTGTAGTTACCACTGAGCACTTCTTTTAGAATGTTAAGTGGAAAGGGTATCAAAGGAACAATTAAACCACCAGAAGGGAATCTAGTGGTAAAACGCAGTATAGGGCATTTCCATCGCAAGTCAGCCGGCATAAAACAATGTAGTAGAAGGAGAGAGGAGGGGAGGAAAGAAACAGAAACCAGGTTAACCTTGGAAGGCCTGAGGAAGAGGCAAGATTTGAACTTGGTTGGTTTTTTTTTTGAGCAGGGGGGGTGATCCGTAAGGTATAAAGCAGCCTGATGAATGAGTCCAGCCCTTGCAGAAGGCCCTGCCAGTGGCTCCAAAACCCTTCTTGTACAGTTAAGTCCCAGACTGTGGTGTGCACAGGTGTGCACCTCAGACATGAGTTTAAATCTGGCTCATTACGAACTTAGGTAAGTCATTAACCCCACTGACCACTAATAAAATAGTAAGGCAACTTATGTACAATGTCTGGTACATAAAATGACTTATTTTACCACCCGTGGGAAAGTTTCAGTGAATGCAGAATGTAACTTGAGCTGAGACTTGGCAAACATACAGACTTACCATACATGTCTGTGAAGGCTGGAAATAACATTGTATTTTACTTTTTCTTGTAATCTGCTATCTTTGGGACAAACGAATTCTTTCTATTATTTTAAAGCAGTGGCTGGCCAATTTTTTTAAAGAGCCAGATAATAAACACTTTAGGGTTTGTGGGCCATACAGTCTCTGTCTCGGCTACTCAACTTTACTCGAGTGTAAAAGCGGCCACGCACAATGTGTCAGTGAATGTTTGTGGCTGTGTTCTAACAGGCGGTGGAGGGACTGGGCCTGTGGGATTCTACAAGCCTGAACGTTAGGTAGAAGAGAATAGGCTATGGCCAAGGAATTTTTAAAAAATGAGTTCTAAAACGAGAATCCAGATTCTCTATTCATTCCCATGTTGGGATGGCCAAAACATGTGGTTTTTCCCAGTAAGATGGCTCTACTAGCACTTAGTTATCTTTAACTGCATTTGAAACAATTTTGTTAAATTGTATTTTGACAGCTGTCAATATCAGCATGCATTTAAAAAAACATCAAAATTGGTGAATTTTTGTGTAGCCATTTTAATACTGAAGATGGAAAAAAATATGCAACATGTTCAGCATATTATGCTTTATTATTTCAAGAAAGGTAAAAAAGCAACTGAAATGTAAAACAAGATTTGTGGAGTTTATGGAGCAGGTGCTGTGACGGATCAAATGTGTCAAGAGTGGTTTACGAAATTTTGTGCTGGTTATTTCTTGCTGGACGATGCTCCACAGTTGGGTAGACCAGTTGAAGTTGACAGCGATCAAATCGAGACATTAATTGAGAACCACCAATGTTATACCACACAAGAGATAACTGACATACTCAAAATATCCAAATCAATAAAGTACTGGTGAAAATAAAAAATGTCTTATTTTACAGAAAAAACTAAACAGACTTTTTGGCCAACTCAATACATTCCTCTCTAATTTGGACTGAAGAATCACTTCGTATAAAGAAGGCTAAATAATATTACTAGTTTCCACTGGCTTAAGACATTCCTTCCCTCTGTCCTACAATCAGAGTCTAAGAACTGAAATAATCTTTTCCCAGTGAAAGTTTAGTTTTTCATTTTATAATTTTCAAGCAAAAGATGACAGGTTTTGCCACAGGTGGCTCAAATTCATGGCATGCTGAGCCCAGTCTTAGTGGTGAGGAGTTACTTTTCAAGAGGAATGAGAGTGGGAGGAATACAGCTGACTTAGTAAGTGGTAAACATCTTTCCTACCTTTGAATACTGCAGTGGAATCATGTATTTCAGCATTCGAAAGTCTATACCTTCTATTTCATTGTCTGGATTTAATACATTAAATTTACTGGCAAGTATTCACATTTCTGAGGAGTGAAAATGAACGCATATGCTCTTGGAAGTGCTGGGAAAAGGGTAGCACTCGGTCAGTTACTCTAAAGAAGCCCCAGCTGACACCAGTGCAACCGAGCGGTACCTTTGCAAGAACCACAGCCAGCAGGGGAGGCAGGAGAGCCCCAGTGGTGAGGAGTGGGGCTACGCCTGTGCCTAAAGCACCGATCGGCACTGGAAAGCAAGTTTCAAACAGTTCATTTTCCTAGCACCACAGGCTGATGCATAAGACAGAGTATTCCCAGTCCAAAGCAGAAGAATGGGAAACACGGCACAGCTCAAAGCAAAAAGGACCCGCCAGGCTCCCCTTGCTATCAAGAACACTTGGCAAAGTGATTAAAGAAAATGGAACCTTACCCGGGGTCAAAAACCCCTGGAGTGCGACACGTTGGTCCGGAACAGGACTGCAACATCATTAGCCGATAGTTCATCTTTCCTAAAAGCTCTGGGTCTATACTTTTAGCAATGTTAGTGATTTGGTGCGGATCTGCAGTCAGGTTATAGACTTCTACAAACACCTACGGAAAGGATGGAGGAAAGAAAAGAGCAAGGGGTTACATTTAAAGAAATACTCATGCGAACTATTTCTAAATGGGGAGGGAAGAGGTAGACAACACCCAAGACCCAGGAGAATATCATCTGGTCTCAAGATCCTCAAAGGAAAATTTAAAAAGATCCTCAAAGAGCCCAGGGGTATACATGAGACAAGGGAGCATCTGTTCTGGGGGTTAAATTGCTTCAGTCTATGGCCCACATGTTAGAAAGGGGCCTGTTTCAGGCAAAGGCAGGAGGGGGCAGTGAGGGTCAGGTATTACTTTCTATAATTAAGGCGGACAACAGAAGGCAAAACCCTCAAATGTCAAGGTCTCAGAAACTAGACTTAGTAATGAAGTTACTGAGTGGGAGTTGACATTTGGAGGTTTATTTTTTGCCTTAGAATTGTGAAGACAGGAAAGTACTCAGACCTGTGTTATAAAAATGTTAGGTTTCTCTATTTTAAAAAGCAGTTTTGGACACACTGCTGAAGGATACAATACTATTATTTCTAGCATTAGACATATCTAATATCACTATTTCCTGCCAACTTGTACGCATTTTGTTCTCCAAATTCGAGTCGAGTGACAGACTAGGAAGATGGAAGGTAAATTCTGCCACTAATGGCTTCAAGGGGCTGCCCCTGGACTATCACTTATGAAGTAGTTGCCGCACTGATAAAGACCATGGGAGAAGGGGAACAGGAATTGAGTTTGAGGGGAGCGCTCTTGCCAGTCATCTAAAGTGTTTACAAGTACAAGCAAATGGTGAGTGAGTCAGCTTCTGAGACACATGATCATGATGAGCACTGGCTCCATATGGCAAAATGTGGGCTAGCAGATGGGGCAGGTTAGCACCTGCTGAGAACAGTATGAAACCCCAAGGGCCTGGAGTCCACATGCTCCTTCAGATAACCCACCCTGATCTGGGCTGGCTAAAAGCCACTTTCTTCTGAGGATGGAGCTCCTGGTCCTACCTCTGACTCCCACTGAGCAGCACTGGATTATGCTGTGGTGGGGACAGAAGTTTCTGAGAAAGCTGAGGGTGTCTGACCCTCAGCCCAAACTAGCAGGGAAGCACACAGACCAGACACACAGCATTCTGAAAAAGTGACCTGCACATTTAACGTACATGTTTGGGGGGTGGTGGGAGTGGAGAAATCCTCATCCGGAAAGGTCATGGAGAGGCAAAGAATGGCCTTGGGGAGCCCTATTCTCTTAGCTGAAGGAAACCTAAATGGAAATACACATAAGAAACCTCTTCCCTAGAGAGCACCTTTGGACCTGCTCTTGTGCCACTGAGGCCAGCCAGCAAAGCGCTGGCAACAGACACAGGGGCGGGGTGATAAGGCGGCAGGGCATCTCACCTCCTGGTCATCAAACTCGCAATACTGTAAGTCCCACAGTGCTGCCATGGTCCTCACACAGGCATAGGTGTTGTTATAAGCATCTTCACACACACAGTCTGGGAAACATTGCTGTAGGGATATTTCAAAAATTAAATGAAAATAGTTCTATCGTAGCAACCACTAACTGCCTACAGGGGCCACCAAACTGGCTCAAACCAGACATACAATTGGATAGAAATTAGGAAACCTTCCTCAGAGAAATGAATCAAAAATAGATGTGAGGCTTTGCTCCTTGTTGACATGATGACTAACTTGACTAAGTCATGTGGTTGTGGTGGTTCTGTTGCCATCCCTGTCTGCTAATCTCCTGACAAGGATTAGCTGTAACAGGCTCCTGTAAAATGTCTGGTTGGTAAGGAGAAGAATCAATACTGAAATTAGTCACTTACTTCTAAGGTATATTAGGAAGTGCTATCCTAAAGGGTTGGAAAAAAAATGGTAAAATGAGCTTTGTAAAATCATCTGCAGGTAAGTTATTATGAAGGTTCTTATCACCCAACAGGACTTAGAATTCTAACTTATTTCTTTAAGTCTTCCATACCAACTTCTGGTTAGTTCTTAACTGTATCATAACACCATGGTGTTAGAGGAGAGTCAATTCCAAATGGAAGCCTATTTTCCATTCTCCAAAGCGAAGCCAACATCTCTGTAACCACCTTCATGACCAGCCTGGCTGCCTCCAATGCAAGACACTTGTGAAGGCACGGTTACAGGGGTGAGCCCCATCTCTCTGCTGGATGTCACTGATGACACCCCTAATAAAAACTGGTCCTGCTACCAGGAAGGGTTGGAAAACAGGATGGGGTATTGATTAATAAGGTAAGAATATGGGCAGATATGTTACCAAAATTGGAAGAATTCTAGTGCACATTCTGACAATATGTCAGCAGCATCACTTTTGGGATTTTTTGTTTTTTTCACTTTCAGGGTTATTAAATTTACCTTTGTGCATCTACTAATCTTCCACAGTCAAGTGATAAAATCAAATGAGAGAGAAGTGGGACTCAGATTAAGGGTTCCAGTCCTTGATACACCGAAACTAATGCCTCGCTGTGCTCTCAGTGAGAAAGCTGCCCAAGCCAACACCAACTGTTACTCACGGACACTCCAGGACTCAAGGAAGGACATGTTGGGTCAGTGACATTACGACCTTCTCCTTGATATTCCACCAGGACATCAGATCGCCAAGTCACATTACTGGCACCTCTCTAGAAAGAACAAGAGTAGCTCCTGTGAGGCATTTAGGCTGTGAAAAGGATCACAAAGTTATTATTCTACTGCGAAAGGGGACTGGGCAGTCAACAATGATTGGCCTGTTCGTTCAGTAACTAAAGGCAATGACTAAAACTGATGTGTATGAAGACTCCTGAACAGCGGGTTTGGTATTTATACAACCCTTGCAAGTGATGGTCAATTGCTTTGAGCATTTTATAGTTACTTCCCAAGATTACTTGTGAGGCAGGTCAGGAATGGAAACCAACAAAGCAGCTAAGCAAGAATCAGTCACATGTAAGGTTCTGGAAGTCCAGATCAGAATAAACAATCCTGTCTATAAACTCTATGTAAGCATTATAGCTTAATACACACAAGGACAAGAACTTACAAACATTAAACAGGGCTGTGCTAATTAAGGACTACAATATGTTCAAAGTACTTCTTGATGGTCAGAATGAAGATACCATACATACAGGAACCTGTGGGGAGGGGGAGAATTCCCCCCACACCCCTTCAGTTCTTACAGCTGGACTTGTAAATATAAAATAGTAAAACTGACACAAGACTAAGTTAATAAGACAAAAACCAACTTAATATGTGTGCACGGGAGAATCACAAATATCATACTCACGTCATAAAATGAGGCCCAAAAGACATGACTGAACTAGGCACCCTTTTATACTTTTTAGACAAAAAAAATCCCAATAAATTTATGAGAAACTGACCGGATACAGTGCTCATTAGAAAGGATTCTAAGCAAGGTTTGAGTGTTCTTAGTGAGAAATCTAAGACAGTTTGGGTAGTACATTAGTAAAGGCGGTACAGGGCTTTTGCCTGGATTCTCTAGCGGTAAGGCTGTCTCTCAGCCCTTGGGAGCAGGGAGGGCAGCTGTCACATGGTATCACATGGGAGATTCACCTCCTGCTCTTGGGACAGAGCGCTCAGGGTTTTCTTCTTGCATGGGCAGATTCTCAAGTAGCTTTAATTCAAAATAATATGCCATTGTGGAGTATCTTGGGGTGCCCTGCCCCGGGCCCTAAAGAGTATAAAGTATAAGACCTAGATGGAGAAAGTTAAAGGAAGTAAATTTCCCTTTAACTCATCTATTGATTCAATGCAATTCCAACTAAACATGATTTTTTAGGCAACCTGAAAAGCCATTTTTAAAGTTTATATGGAAGCAAGATAGCTAGAATCCCTATAAGAACAGTGAGAGAGGTGCACCCATACAAAGACTTAGTTATAACTTGTTATAGCTTTATAACAAGATAAAATGACACTGGTACAGAGAGAGACAGATCTTTGGAACAGAAAAGACAATTGAACGTTTGTAGAAAAAAACTGAAGTTGGATCCCTGACTCATACAAGAAAATCAATTCTAGATATAATGAGGACTTGAAGGTAAGCACAGAATTTTTAGAAGAAAATCTAAGAAAACTGTTTTTTAACCTCAAGGTTCAGAAGCATTTTTATAAACAAGACACAGAAGACACTAACCATAAAAGAGATAATTTATACATTCACCTCCTGTGATGTCGTATGTTAATATAAGGAAAAGACAAGTTACTGACAGGGAGAATATTATGGGACTTTTCAAAGAGAAGAAACACAAAAGGCATAAATGAAGAATGATTCACTGATCAAAAAGAATATATACAGCCCTGGCTGGTGTGGCTTAGTGGACTGAGTGCCAGACTGTAAACTGAAAGGCTGCCGGTTCGATTCCCAGTCCGGGCATGTGCCTGGGTCAAGGGGCCAGGACCCCAGTTGAGGGCATGTGAGAGGCAACTGATTGATGTTTCACTCCCTCACTTTCTCTCTCCCTTCCCCTCTCTCTAAAAATAAATAAAATCTTTTAAAAAATTAAAAATACATTTTTAATGAAGAGAAGATGCTGTTTTGAAACCTCCTTTTCTCCCTATAGTATGTAGTAGGCATCCTTCTGAGTCAATGTATACAGATTTGTATCGTTTAGTGTTGGCTTAATGGTACAACAATTTAACCAATTCCCTACTAGATATTTAGGTTTTCTGTTTTCTTCTGTTAACACTTCATGTACAATTTTTATAGTTAGCTCTGTATGGTGCCAGGTACATAGTAGGTACTCTTGAATGAACTGTTTTCTTAGAATAAATTCCCAGATGCAACTGCTTGATGTATGTGTTCAGAAGTGGCATGTCTTGATAAATTAGCCTCTTGATAGCTTATACTGAATACATTTTTATGAACAGAGTCTGAGTAGTTTCCATTTCTCAGACTTCTGCAAATAGTGGGTATCTTTGCCAGTTCTGCAGGCAATAAAGGCCTCCTTTAGTGAAGCATTTCTTTGATCAGCATTGATGCAATCTTTTTGCATTTACTTTGGCCATTTCTAATTCCTCTGTGAGTTGATTAGTTACTTCTTTTGCCAATTTTTCTACTGGGATATTGATATTTGCTTTCTAAAAACTCATCTATTAGGACTTACTACCTTTTTTCTCATATGTAGCAAATATTTTCCCAGTTTGTCACTGTCTTAAATTTTTTTTTTAAGAATCTAAGCAATTTTATTCTAGAACATATACTCTTAGCTATTATACACACTGCCTCCAAGAATAAAGAATGTTTTCTGTGGCACCACCTTCTAGGTTCCTATAAAAATGGTGATGAAGCCTCGTAGTTGTGAAACAGTAGTTCCTCTTCCCCAAACGAAAGGAAATTTGCTGTTGGCCAGACTCTTCACTCTCCCACCATCCGGTGTGCTTATTTCTCATGGGCCCAGGTCCTGCTCCTTCTTAAATTTTTTTATAATAATTTGGGGGTGGAGCAAGATGGGAAGTAGGGAGGATATAGACTGTTCATATATGGGCCAATCATTCTTTTTTAAAGAAAATTCCTTCCTACCACAGAGAGGAGAAAAATTCTATTCTCTCAATCCCAAATTTAATAGCATTGAGATTTAAGTTTTAAAGTCTAAATTTATACAACCTGGAATTTATTTCAGTCTTGGCTCAGACCTGATTGAGGGTTTTATACTCACCAAGATGGGCAATAAAGACATCCCATCCATCTGTGTCTTATTCAGGCTATATCCAGCAATGTCCAAAATAGTAGGACCCAAGTCAATGTTGGCAACGAGCATCTATGAGAATGAGAAAAAAAAAACAAGTTTTCCTTTTCTATCTATACTCTTTTCCCCAACTCACCCATGAGACAAAACAGCATTTACTATTATCTTTTGTACAGCCCATACTTACTTAGGTCTTACTGATTCATGTATTCAAATAGAACTATAGTAATTTAAAAAAACAAAACAAAGGCTTAAAAGGCTTGTAATATATGCCTCTGTGAAGTTATATATTTATTCCACCCATACTATTATTGATCAAAACATTTTTAAAAAGTCTTTTGGGATTTCCTAGAGACTGTTATGAATCATGAGAAAAATGTTGGTCTATTTTATACAAAGTGTTTTCCAACTTGATTATTCTTACTAGTTTACTAAATTTAACTTCAAATGAACTCCTCACAATTTTGAAAGCCTCAAAGGTTGAATGATTACCACTGAGGAGGAGATTAGCCCTTTTTATAGCTTTCCAAAGTGACAGCAATGCCAAAAAATGTTTGCAATAGGCTTTGAAGACTGCAGAAAACTTACTCCAACAGTACATTAGTAAGTTTCCTTACAGAGCACAAAACTAAGATTCTTTAAACAAACATTCCAGACATTAAAGATCCTGTCCTGAATTTATACCTTTCCTTATTTCCTCGGTTTATTAGATAATTTTCGTTCTGTATACAATGCTTTTTCAGGACCTAAACCAACACAATCCAATAGAAACATAACAGGACCATATACGTAATTTAAAATTATATAGCAACCACACTTAGGTAAAAAAGAAAAAAGGTGAAATTCATTGTATGTATTTAACCCAATATATAAAATATATTACTATTTCAACATGGTAAGCAGTGCAAAAAATTAGTAAGATCTGACATTTTTATCTCTGAACCACGTCTGTGATATCTGATATTTTAAAATTATAACACATCTCAATTTGGACTATCTCATATGGTCTATTTTTGGCTCAACAGGCAATGTGGGCTGGTAGCTACGATAGCGGACAGTGCAGGCCTGGATGGAACCTAAGCATACACGCAGAAATCACTCTGGGCACAGGTTAGGAAAAGCTTTAGAGTGTTGGAAATAATCCACTAGGGAAACAAGGGAGACTAATGTTTTCTGAGCACCTATTCTGTGCCAGTACTTGGTGTTCACCCTCATTTAACCCTCACCACAATCCTATGATGCAGTATTTTTCCCTTTTTATAGGTGAGGAAATGAAAGAGAAGTAACTGAAACAAGGTCAACAGCTAGTCACTGGAAATGCTATCATTTACTCAAAGGAAGTAAGAGTCTTCAAAATCACTGAGAAAACTTACATCATCTGAGAGGAGGCCAAACAGGGTTTAAAAAAACAACAACAAAAAACTTCTACTAACCATGGTACTTTCAATTTAAGAACAAAACCAAATGTACAGACACGAAAGGCAAGAAAACAACTTCAGATCATTGTTCATCAGGGGCCAGGCTCCCTGGCAGCTAGGAGGCAGAGTAATATGCATACCCTGGCTCTGAACCAATTACTGTAACTCTGGAGCTGTCAGATATGACCACTAAGTGGCAGGCAGCTCAAGAGAAAAGCAATCCATATGTTACTGAGAAAAAAAAACAAAACAAAAAAACAATAAAAACCCCCACAACAATGTCTCTAGGGATTATATGAGACCTGGGTTAGAGACATCTTGCCTAGTTCCAAGTCCCCAAGGCAGACTGGGCAGCTTGGAATATGGTCAACATGACTGTGAAAGAGATCATGTCAGGAAAGGAGAGACAAGCAGACATGACCTCCAGGATCAGATCAAGGCAACAAGACTCTGACTTGGGACTAAGAGATCTTCAGTGATGTTCAGAATATGAATGAAGCGAAGTCAAGTCCACAGGTATTACTAACATGTCCAAGGTAGTTTTATAAGAAAAGAAAGGGGGGTAAACACCAAAATAGTAAAACCCACAGAGATATAAAATGACAACTGCCAGTATCACCAGGAATTCACCAGGAATTAAGAGCCAGCAGCTGTATGATGGGAGGCTCGAGATCTCTAACAGCGGTTTGCTCTACAGGGCCCAAAGGTTGGAAGTTCTAGTACAAATCAAATGGCACTGAGATTCGGCACAAGTACCATATACAGCATCCCAGGACTCTTCCTTCCCAGAGAGCCACAATGATCTTTTTCCTTCTAGGGTTTTATTTGACTAAGAAGTAGAGCCTCAAAATTAGCATACTACATCAGGACCTATACTATGGGTCCATCACTGCAATGACTTCTAGGAACTTCAGTGTTTTAAGTTCCTAAAATGGTACAGGTGCTCCTCAACTTACAATGGGGTAATGTCCTGACAAAACACATCATAAACCTAAAATATGGTAAGTCAAAAATACATTTAATGTGCCTAACCTACTAAACAACATAGCTTAGCCTAGCCAGTTTCTATTGAAGGCATATTGCTTTTACACCATCATAAAGTCAAAAAATTGTAAGTCAGAACATTTTAAGTTGGGGACTACCTGTACTACTTTTATTACTGTGTATAAACTCAAAGATTCCCTTATGGACTGGAACCGAAAAAGCTTGCGCAAGACCAGAAGTAGATTATTTCATAAATCATAGCCTCCCAGTTTGGGAATGTTTTTGGTATTTAACTATATAGACATTGTGATCAAATAAAAGCTCCTAGGAAACTCTGAAATAAGGGGTATCACACTTTGAGACTGCTTAAATTTTAGCTCCAGGAGAATGACAGTGTTGCACAATCAATGAAGAGATTTAAGAGGGCCCTCAAGAGGATACAATGGGTTTCCTGATGATAAAGAATTCATGTAGAGTTACCAAAGCAAAGACTCAGAGCACGTCAGAGCGCACCCAAATCCCCTGAATGGCAAGCGCTGGCACTGCATAAGCATAGGCCTCCCCGAGTCTTGGGCCGTTTCACTGGATGTGCTCCTGAGCCCCAGCTTCTCTAACAAGGAATAAGCCCCTAGCTGCTAACTTAGCGCCCTCCCAGTTTCAGAGGGAAACTAATGCTGATTTTGTCCAAAGCGTTAAAGCCAGTATGTGGTCTTCCCGATTCCCAATTCAGTTCTGTATCTCCTGGGTCATACTGTGTTATGTCAGTTTTCCTACTAACCTCTTCCTGTCTTAAAATCTCTTTGAAGAAATTCTACCATCAAATCTAAAGCTGGGTTAACGTCTGGTAAGAGGACAAAACCTCAACAGCCTATCTTGGGCAACCAAACATCCCACCGTGCTCTCCCAAGAGCCAACACAAAGCTGAAACTAATGCTTAAATGTGTGCTGTTTTAGCCATCAAGCTGTTGACAGCCCAGCTCATTATGACCAACTCACAGCCCTGTGCCACTCACGCAGAACAGCTGACACTGAGACACTGCGCTGCCAACACACGATGAATCATCCACCGTCTCTGGCATTCTCTGTGCTAGATGAAAGCTAGGGCATTCCACACTTCTCAAACTACACCTGGCGGCACAGCAGGGTAAAAAAAAATCATGGATTTTGAGAACAGGCACAGTTCACTTTCTGTCCTGGTTCTGCCACTTACTACGTGACCTTGGTAATATCCATTCAATAAATATGGATGTCTCACAATATGTGTTAAGGGCTGGGTATTCTAAGTTAGGATTGTTCTTCTCTTCTAGGAACCCCTAGAATAAAAAAAATAAGCTCAGTAGGGTGTGGTAAGTGTGAGGCCAGCTGGGAACAGGGGAAGGGCACCTACCCTCTGTGGGGGGCAGGAGTCCAGTGACTTCCCAGAGGGGACCCCCAAAGGACAATTAATGTAGCCCAGTGAAAAGGACAGGAGAGGGGCCACTCCAGACCAAATGAACAGTCAGTCAGAGGCAGGCGAGGCGGTGAGAGACAGTTCACTTAAGAAGTGAGAGTAGTTCAGTACCACCTTCTGTCCCTTGAACAAATCAAGCTCATTCTCACATTTGTGCTTTCACATTTACTGCTCTGCTCAGAACACCCTCCCACAGGTCTCCACATGACTAAACCCTTCTCAACACCCATGTCTCTGCTCAAATGCTGCCATGGCTTTCAGCGACCACTGTAGCTCAAGTACCTGACACTCCCTGCCACAGGGAGTTGAGGACTGATCTCCCCCAACTACCTACTGCTCTGTATCCTGGCATCCTGTGCTAGCACAAGACACTTCAAAAATACTTGTTGCCTGCACTACAGTGTTATTGTTAAGTGTATGGACTCTGCAGCCAGGCTGACCAAATTCAAATACAGGGCTGATATATCTTAGCGACACGATCTTGGACAAACCACTTAACTTCTGTACCTCCGTTTTCTCACCTGTAAAATGGGGCTGATAGTACCTGTATCTCATAAGACTGTGAAGGTTAAATGAGTTGATACAGGTAATACATGTAGAATAGCACCTACTATACTAAGCACTCAATAAATGTTAGTTGTTATTGTTGAAATGGCTTCCTAGGAAGATTATTTAGAGAAGATCAAGTTTCTTATTTTATTTTTTAAAAGATTTTATTTATTTTCAGAGGAGGGAAAGGGAGAAAGAGAGGGAGAGAAACCTAAATGTGTGGTTGCCTCTCCTGTGCACCCTACTGGGGACGTGGCCTGCCACCCAGGCATGTGCCCTGACTGGGAACTGAACCGGTGACCCTTAGGTTTGCAGGCCGGCGCTCAATCCACTGAGCCACACCGGCCAGGGCAAGTTTCTAACTTTAACATTTAGATGGTTCTGTTAACTTGAAGGAAAAGGACCAGTTTGTTTCCTGTGCAGCTGGCTGACACTGCACTGCTCTCACTCAGCCCCCGTCCCTGCACTGGTTAGAAGTGGCCCCTGCTGCTTGGACATGCGCACAGCTGCCAACGTTTTCCGCAATCAGGTCTCAGCACCAAAATCAATAAAAAGCTTTTAAGATTTAATGATCTTCCAAACTTGCCTATCTCCTTTGTAAGAAGAGGCCCGTTTAGTGGGTACTGAATTTGTAATAGAAAGTGACTAGCTTTAGGAATACAGAGCTTAAG